TCTCTGAACCACTTTCAACCAGACATTGAACCTAATAACACTTCATAACCGCATAAATTCTCTCCTTCCTTCTTTTTTCATTCTCTAATAACAAACATAAACTCTAAATTAGAAAGTTATGTTCAAAACTAATAGAACTATTTCAAGGTGGGTTTTTTTAAAATCCCAAACATTACAATAGAGAAACCAAGGCCATGAAGCTAAGGTTAATCTTAACTAGGATATGTTTTCTGAGATTTGAGTTATGGGGTGTGTGTGCATGCTCACATTTGTTTCCACACCTGCACTCACACAACAAAGTAAGCATTTTAGTGGAAGCATGCTTAGGGAACCATGTTCATGAGTCACAGTAAAAATAATTTTAGCATTTACAAAGCTCTGTAATGCAACATTTGATCCCTACAACAACCAAATTCCAAGTTTGATTATCATTAAACTGATGTTCAAGAAATTTACTCAGTATCATGAAGCAAAAAGCCTGAAACAAATCAGAGTCTTCTGGTTCCTGGTCTAGTGTATGCTCTGTTACACCTCAATGACTCTCCCCAAAATCTGAGCTGTCCTATGTTTTTACATAAAGAAATGTTTTAATTCCTTAATTTGAAAAGATGTGACTACCAAAGTGTAGGGAACTACAAACAAAATATACAAGACATAGGACGTTGAAGACTTTCACTTTTGACTCATCTGTGACTATGGGAAAATGTTTTTTCTACTTCATAACTCGAGTTTTTTTTGTTGTCATTGTTTTCTTTGCACTTGTTAAATAGTAGTAACACTGCACATGGCACCTCTAACCCCCATGACTCCAAAACATTAGTGTTCATTTTCCGTGGATGAAAAATTCCTGAAATGAGGGGAAAGCTGTAGGTAATTATACAAAGGTAATCACTACTTAAAGAAACAGAATAAGAAGGCCAGGGTGGCCCCTGGACAAGAATGGGCCTCCTCTGTACTAGTAGCTAGGGATTAAGGTCAGCAAATAGGAACAGAAAGGTTATATCCCTAGGTCTATACCAAACGCCTTTCCACTCATTTCCCAGTTCTCCTCTATGAGTGTGTATTTGTATCTATATGTGTGTGTATGTTGGATATGTTCCTGCATAATCCCCATCCAAAAGTTATTCTGTCCTTTTTAAGACTCGGGTCAGAACATATATGTACCTAGATTGTTCATTTAAAAATATCATCACTGTGTACACAGTGAACAATATTGTCTCCTTGATTTGATTTTGCTCATCTCTTCTAGGTGGATGAGCACTTGAATTCCTGAAAAAAAAAAATTGTTCATCTCAGCTCTTCAAGAAAAGAGGGTAGGCTGTCAAGATGCAGATGGTTAGTTTTACTGTGGTGCCCCCTAGTGCCAGGTCAACATGTAGATCAAACAAAAGAGGCAAAATTTGGAGAAGCAACAATTTTGGTAATTGTGCCTGTATTCTATTTGCATAGAATAGAATGAAGTACGTCCCTAGCACGATTCACAAACCCTGTGCAATACACCTTGCCTAGATTTTCAGCTCCATTTTCTGCCACCCTTTCCCATGAACACTGGACTTCAATAATTCTGAGTAACTTGCTCTTCCTGCCTAGAAAGCCTTCTACCTCCCCACGTCCATTCCTTCTGTGTAGGAAATTTCAATCTTCCTTGAACATCAACTGAAGAATTATCTCTTCCCCCAGTTTCCCTGACTCTCCAGAAATCTCAGGCAGTCCCTTCTTCCTCCCCTCCCTTCCCACTATCCCTTAAGTGTGTCTCCACATACTGGTACCCTTTGAACTAATCTTGACAATTAGTTCAAAGAGTTCAAAAACCTTCTCCAACTTCTGCAGTTTGTGTTTCTGAAGCTTCAAACAGTACCTGGAGCAAGTAGACACTTAGTGGAATGAATTTGAATAAGGATCAAATTGACATCAGTCAATTGACAACAATTGACTATCAATTGACAACAGTCAGACTTTTCTGGTTAATTAATTAGCTGAGTGATAATAAGCAATTTATCTGCCTTCTCTAGTTTTCTTATCTGTAAAAAGACTATGTCTAATACCTGCTCAAAAGCTAGTGTTACGGATAGTCTTCTAGAGTATTTACTTCTCTCTCTCTCTCTCTCTCTCTCTCTCTCTCTCTCTCTCTCTCTCTCTCTCTCTCTCTCTCGTGGAATTTAAATTAGGGCTTCCCACTTGCAAAGAAGTTGATCTAAGGCTTGAGCCACACCTCCTGTTCCCTTCTTTTCTCTTTCTAGAAGTATTTTGCTCAAACAGAACAGGTTATTTAGATAAGTACAAAGAATATACAGTTTCTCCCAGTCCCTTTTTAAGAGCACAACAATCACATTTTATATAAATCATATTTTGTATAACACTCACATTTTATATTTCTCAAATTCTCAAGCCCACTCTGTGAATACATGCACAACATACTCATAGGATGTTAAGCAGGAAGACATCTTACTGATCCTCTAATCCAACTTCCTCTCTTATGGATGATAAAATCAAGGCCCAAAGAGGAACATGAATATTTTTCCAAATATCTCTAAAACAAAAACTTCTGCTTTTTATGTATGTGAATGAAATTTAACCCAGCCATGAAAAAAGTGTCTAAGTAAACCTCGTTGAAGAAAAATTGACTGTCAAATGGAGTCTAGAAGCTGTATCTGTATTTTTACAGAGCCATGCATATAGTCAATCATTTTTCTAAGGCTAAAAATTAAATCCAAAAAATAAGGAAAGAAGCATGATTATTTTCCAAATACCTTTCTCCTACCAAGGAAGAAAAAGATCCAATTTAACTGGTTAAGTGATGTGCATTTCAGCTATTTCACCTCCAGTAAAGATCGCTGAAACATTATGTCTTACAAAAGTAGAGATTTGATTGCATCACTGCCTATTCCATCCCCAGTCATAATTCCAAAAACACACCACACACACACACACACACACACACACACACAGACACACAATCTACCACTGTTGCCACCAATACTATTTGACCAGATTCCAAAGAAAATCCTCACCACCTACCTAAGCTCCGCTTTCCGTAATAAAGTATACAAGACTAAATATAAAAACTGATTGTGCTACCTGGGTCACATAACAACATAAGAAATTACATTAGCTAAAATAAACTAGCTAGAAATAAGAAAAAAGAATTTTGGCAGTACTGTGGTTTGAACTCAGTGCCTTGCTTGGCAGGCATTCTACCACTTGAACCATGCTCCCAGTCCAAGTAATAAGAAAACATTTAAAGTTAATGTCAAGTGAAGAATTTAAAATATCTGAGACTTGAAGTTTTCTATATCCAGAGTATATGGGATCAAACAGCTCAAATGTACCTACGTTTTTGCTTCAGTTTCTGTGCCAAAACAAAAAGCCAATACTCTCCCAGAGATAGGCTCACTGTGAGTACTACTGTCCTAGAAGCCAGTGCTCAGTTTTACTTACCAACTCTGTCACAGAGTTTCTGGGCGGCTTGCAGAATCAGGACCCTCTCCTTACCATTCCCAAGATAGTATGACTGTGTTTCACCTTTTGCTCTTCCCTACCCGAGCATTCTGCAGTTAATTATTCTTGACTGAGACCAAGTGTCCTATCTTTTTATCATCCCACAGAGTAAGAAAACACATAGCACTGTGGTTGCTTAAAAAGCACTATCAGGGCTTCCAGACCTGGTGAACGCACTCAGCGGTTCTATTTTTGGTTGCTCTGTTTGCTTTCTTCTCAGAAGAGCCTGATTCCGGTCTGTGCCTTGGGCATCCTGCCATGGACACATTGCTCTGCCCCCACACCCTCTCCACAAAGCACCTGCTTCACCCAAAGGGTTCTGCACAGAGAAGTAAATGTGTGGGGTAGTGAGGAGAGGACAGGTGTGTTGTGGTGTTAACTGGTCTGCAGGCTTGAGTACCACACTGGCTACACTTCTGGAATTTGGGGACACAAGCACTCTCCATGCTTCAGCAATCACAACCACACACACTCCCACCAGCCTCTGTGTACTGAAAACCCCCATTTCCTGTAGAAAGAGACAAGCCCAGGCATTTTCTAGAGCCACTTATCTTATCCTGTTTAATTGAAGTTGCTAGACTCTGACATGACCTTTACCTGGGAAAGATTTTTCTAACCCAAAGCAACCAGCCAGGGAAAGAAGAATTATCAAATCAGTCCCAACAAAGGAAACTGTAAATTTATTTTCTTTTCATTGTCATCTTCTGCAGTTAAGACCTAATAATGTTTGTATATGGGAATAGACAAATAAAAAAATAGTACAATGAAAGGAGAGAATGCAATGAGAATAAAGAGATGGAAAAATGGACAGAATATCTTAAGTGGGGAAAATACTAGAAAGATGGTCCCTCTACTACATGATGTATTTGTAGGAAAAAGACAAATGTCTTCAATTTGTCATTGGTAAAGATGGACTGTGAGAAACAGCATCTGATTAAATTACTGGGGTGGATGTGTGTGCACGTAGGCACACAAATATGCACTCAGATACATCGCTGCCTTTAAAATGCAAGGTTAGCTATTTAAAAGAACATTGACACCCTCAGCAATTTTTAAAAAGCAAATCTCCTTGAGTGTCTAAAGAATTTATGAATACAATAGGAAAGTAGAACTGGTCTGTTTCTTATCTCCTTTTTATACTAATTCCCTGATCCATTATTGGCACATTACTACCAGAATGGATAGACTGATTATACATCAGTGACTCAAAAACTTCAAAGTGACACATCATCAAGAAACACCAGGATTCTTGCATTGCAAAGAAAAAGAAAAAACAGAATCAGCACCTCTGTCCTACCTCCACTCTGCCCCTACCACTGCCTCTGCTGAAAAGAAGGAAGGAAAGGAGAAACAGAAGGTGTTTGACCACACTTTACAATCACTAGGTGGTACAGGAGACTCAACAATTTTGCCATTAGATTATTTCCAAGTGACTGCAGCTGTTGCAATGCCATCAACATGAGCTGGAGGGGAAAAGCATCCAGCAGTGCAAGTCATCTTACCTGAGGGTAGTAGAAGTGCAGGCAGATGTAGGTGAGGCACAGGACCAGCCCCAGGCCCTGAATCCCGGAGGCTACCAGCAATAGCTTGTTCCACTTGCATCTTGACCTTGGTACGTTTCCCACATTCTCATTTAGAGGTTGAACCCCTTCCATCTTCACTATCAGGGTATAGGGAAGATGCAGATGTGGTAAAGGGGAACCTGGGGGAAGACTGAGTCTTCCCCACAAAGGAGGAGATGAAGGCAAAAGGAAGCCTATCAATCAGAAGATAGACAAAGGTCCCAGGACCTGAGACAAAAGGCAATTGAAAGAGCAGAGCAGACACTCTCAGTTTTAACTCTGCAACTTTGCAGGCAGGCGGGGGAACTTCTTTGTGACTAATCTGAATTTCCCCTTTACTTTCTTTCTTTACTTTTTTTTCCTCTGGGCTAACAGGGAGTTGTTTTTGTGGCATTCCAGTTCTGATTTGAGTGACTGTGAAATGACAGTCATAAAAGTGTGCTATTTTTTTAATTTCTCATTGCACCAGTAACCAATTTGTGGGTCAGTTGGTAAAGATAAAGATCATTATCCGTTGAGGTAGGAGCTCACATATCCCTTCTTCAAGGTATTTCAAATCATAAAAGAGATTTAAGGAAAATACTACCCTAAGGTCCTGTGTCTATTATACAACTAGCACCAGTCTCGTTTTACAGCTCAGCAATAAAGCATGCACAGACTGTTCTTGACAAAATAAGGAAATATGATGGTGGGTTATATAGCAATGAAGGAGAGATCCTCTAGTTATGTAATCAATTACATTAAATAAACTATTATCTATTGAGCATCTAATATGTCAGATGCCGTGTTTGATAACTTGCAATCTTTTCTTTTTAATTATTATTATTTCAGTCAAATTCAGTAAATAATTACATAATTAATTTTCTGCATACCAGGATAGAAGCAGAAAATTCTGGGTTTTTTTCACACTTCCCTCCACTTTATATTGCCCCCATACATAATTTCACATGAATGAAAAATGTACAGATTCAAATAATCCTTGAAGGCTCTTTCTTTCTTTGAGTTTTTTGCTAGACTCAGAACCTGGAAAGTAAAAGTTTTCTACCAATGTGCTCTACTTACCCTCTATCACTAAAATAAACAATGAAATTAAATTAAATAAGTGATAAAATTATAATGTCAAGTTCAAATTGACAAATATTTACAGAGTAAGTAATATGAGCCCAGTGCTATACTAAATAAAGATGCTAGGCAGGGGTCTATTTAATACAAAATCCTGTTTCTCTTCCATGGAAAAGTGTGTCTCTCTCAGTTTCCCATGGAGCATTTAATGGATATTTAGAGAAAGAAGGGAGGAAGGAATATTTTGGATGTTAGTCATATGAAATGGTAAATGCAACTCTATTTTAAAAAATGGACATGAGGGTATATTCAAAAGAAAAACAGTTTTCAGGCAATGGAAAGTAATGTATCACAGTATTAATCAATTAAAATGAATTAATACCTTCAGTATAATAATTGTGCTTGCATTTGGAGAAAATACTGATCTTCAGAAGTTCAAGTTTTTAACTGGAAGATGAGTTAACTAAGTCACTGTATCAAGACTTCAAGCCAAAACTAGAAATTAAGTTCCATTTAAGCTGCTCTGTAATAAGTTATTTTCCTGAGCAAAGTGTGAACAATATATAGAGTGTGAAGACAAAACTTGAAAGAAAAATCAGTATATAACTCTCAATTCTTGTGTCATACCTAATAGTTACATCAGTAACTGTTTACTCATCCACTTTCAAAAATGACTAAAAGGGACAATAGAAAAAAACTTAAAATACTATTAGAAACTAGAAATAAACTGGAAAATTAGTAAAAACTACTCATGCTGAAAATCAAAGAGAATATTTTTTGTTACTACCAAAAGGATGAAAAAGATTGTAAACATCTGCAGGACACAAACTTGTGTCTCTGCAGCATTCCTTCTTACTGTCAGCATGGCTTCTATGAGGAAAAATCTACAAATGCTTTCTAGACAATAAGAACTGTGCAGCAGAATGAGTTTTCAATCCTACATTGTCTCAAGAAAGCAGTCAACTAAACCAACAGTTAGGCCTGCACATTTTGGTACACTTCTCACCTCCCTTGTCTCAGCCTCATCCTGCTATATTTTGCTTCATATAATTTTTGTTGAAGTTCAAGTGATGATTTATACATAATTCTTTTTTATTGACCACATTCACTCAGCTTCCTCACATTCTTTGTGGAAAGGAAAAAAACACACACACGTGCACATGAAATAATAGAAACTGGGCTGGAAGTTTCAGGGGAGACCTTTTGATATACTATGTGAGTATTTCAAAGTTCATTTTTGGGCTGCTTTAACATTTGAACACTACTGATGAAACCACCAGCAGAGATATAATTAGTGGCATTTCAGTCTCTCTCAGATGGTCAAAGCCCTCCATCTTGAAAATGTTTTGCTTTTTTTTTTTCTAAAAAAGAAAGGTGAAAGATTTGTAAAAGGGGTCAAGCATGTTACTGAATCTATGGGCAATTTATTTTAAAGCATCTCACAAAGATCAAACACACATGCCAGAACAAATTCATCTTGGAATGAAGCCTCGAGAAGTAAAATAAGCTAAAGCGATGGTCTTCTCATAGACCATCAACCTCCCACAGGAATTGCCATTTCAAGACTACAGGAAGATATGGAAAATAAAAAAGCTTCAAGAACTGACAGGCTACCTCATGTTCAGAAAGCAGTAAAAACTTTTTTGGGGTTTTTTGTTTGGGGGATTTTGTTGTTCTTTTATGGTTATTAGGGGGGTGGTTTTTTGGTATTTTTTGTATTGGGGGGGTTTTGTTTGTTTATTGGTAAAAATATGCATCTTGTCATCATTTGTCCATTTAATAAGCCTGGGCCAGGTGCCTGGGGGAAAAGACGTGAACAAAATACGCCCTCAGTTCTCGAGGTCACAAGTGGGAAAGCATGATGTCCACAGCCTGGAAAATTCTGAGGCCAGTGTCTGAGCAAGAAGGAACACGGCAGGGTTAGTCTCGACAGGAATTAAGGCAGAGACATCTTATTTGAGATGAGTCAGGTCAATCTTGTAGAAACCAGAAGCAGTCTGGTCACTGAGGGAGCAGGAGGGGCAGAAGGGCAGGAATAGGCAGTGTAACTTGAACAAATCTTCCTGGTGCCTTCAGGAAACTACAGCTGGAAAGAAGAAGGGTAGAGATGAATGGCTGCCCTGGAAGACTTTTCGAAAAGGACTTTTGTTACAAGTCAAGAACTTTGAACTTTTTCCTGAAGGAACTGGGGAAACATGAAAAGGTTTGAAATAGGAGACGATACGATTACATTTTAGAAAATCATCCAACTGAGTGCCATGGAAATGGAAGAGTGTCATTGAAGTTACCAGCTGGGAGACATTTCCAGGATGTTCTGTGCTAGCTGAGGGAAATCTATAATCCCACCTCTGCACTCAGCTCTTCAAGCCCTTCATCAGGAAAGGGGGGTTTCTTCCTACAGGAAAGACCACCTTTGTCTTCCCACAAAGGATTCTCTGCTTGCCAATCCATGAAGAAATGTCCACATTCATTCAAATTAAAGCTCTAATCCCAGAGAGGGCATCACGCTCTAATTTACACAAAGACAGCAGTATGAACTAAGGCTGCCCTTGGGTTTGCAACAATTTTAGTGAGAAATAATAAGGTTTTAAACTAAAGTTAGGTATATCATGATTGGAGGAGATAATTACAGTGGCTCTTCATTCACTAAACATTTTGACAGTATCTTTGTGCCATCCTCTGAGCATACACAGGTAGTTACATGGAAGCTGACAGAGTGAGGTAGGAAGTGATGGAAACAAGTGCATTTTCAAATATCATAAACCTGATTTGTCTTCTGCCTTCTCATCCTGCTCTGAATCCTAATGTTACTATCCTGGTTAATGTTTTTACCACTCAAGAGCCACATAATCTCAGGATTGGCTTTGTCTCTGCTTTGCCCCAATCAAGCTTTGCAGGACTATCCCTACAGTGTGGTTCATAATGTCTTATTTTCTGTTTGCCATTCCTATTGTTTTTAATCCATGTCCTTATTACTCATCACTTGAACTTCTGAATCAGACTCTCAACTATTCTCCCTGCTTCCATTCCATTTATTGCCAATCCATTCTGCTTTGGCAGACTTCTTTATACTCAGTCAGATCGTGGTCCTGTCAAGGGCTTCATCACATAGAGGATAACATAGAAATTCTCTAGCTCTATATTTTTGTCACTACATGATGTAGCCCCAAATCTCCTCTTCAAACTTATCTCCCTCTGATTATTTCTGGGATTCACCCTGCCTCAGATATATTCACTTTCCATCTCTGACCATCAAAACCTCACATACTTCCCCATGAAGAGCTGCCTTGTGAAGCAGTAAGCTTGCAGAAGAAGCTAAACAAAAACCTTGGAAGAATACTATTCAGGGAACTCTGAGTTTGGATGAAGGGTTGATAACATCCATGGTTCTCAAAGCCGAGTTGATCATCAGAAAGATTCAGATATCTAATTACTTCACTCTAGAATTTCTGTTTCAGTCCATTTGGAGTGGAGTCTTATGAGGGAATATTTCTGAAAGACTCCATAAAAGTCAAATTTGTGAATCTTCCTAGATGACCACGGAAGATCTCTTTGCCATTATACTTCTATGAAAGGAAGCCTTCTCCTGGGAAGGCAGCTGTTTTGTTTCTACAGTTTAATAACTATTTAAAACTATTTCAGTTTCCTGATATCAGGAGTACTACATTATATTCTCATAGGCCCAGAATAAGCTTTCTAGAAATATTTGCCAAATTGAATTGAACTTATTTGCATTAGATCTAAACTGCACTATTTACAGGCCCAGAAAATAATAACAATCTGAATGATACTGAAAATGGCACTGTTAAATACAGAAGTCTGCTAGTTGCTTGACTTTGATCTTAGATTTGAAAGCTTAGCAAACCTGAAATGTGTAGTTTTCATTGAAACCGGAGTTTCAAATGCAAATGTGAACTCATATGATAATATTCCATTGGGTTTCAGAATCATTAACCCCTCATTTAAAACTCCTTTTCTGCCAGTGCTGATTTTCCTTTTCATTCTTCACATTCCTTGGAACATTTTTATAG